CCTTATATCTCATCCCCTCTCAAAAACTCCAAAGGGTTAAAGGACTGTTCACGTAGTTTTGACCAATGGTTTTGAGTATTCATAACCCTCACCTTAGTAACCCTGAAATTTATGTTAAATTTTCACATTTGCACTTTCATCCCTTTTCCAAGCCCTAAATAATTACATGGCAGATTGCAAGTTTACAAGGAAATGTGCCATACATTCTGTTTTTAACACCTGAGAAGCCCTGAAGAGTCCATGTTAACATACATTGTCAGTAAGTGAAAAATTGACATCCCAAAGGCTTTCTTAGTATTTAACCATACCTGAGAATCTGCCAAGCTGGCTCTTGGGATTGTGTCTTTGTCCACATCTCTTCCAGCACCCAGAGTCTCACCTGTACTTGCATGTCTTTGGGTGTCTCTTCTACTTTTTCCTGGTTCTCAGGATCACAGCTGAGCCCCAGCATCAGCCACATTTGGGCACAGGGTAAGCCAGTGGCAATGTGCTGTTCTCACCCAGACTTCCCTCCTGGGCAGCCACACTCCCTCAAGTGATCTGGATCCTCCTGGTGTAGAATCTTAGTGGGCAGCAGCAGACATTGTGAAGTGACTGGAAGGAGCAGAAGTAGGACAGTCACGGAGTGGACAACCTCACCACTGCCTGGAGGAAGACACACCTGATATGGTTGGCTAAACCCAAAAAGCCAATGGTTCTCTGCGGGGGCCTGAAGCTGCAGGGATCTCCCTTTTCCATGTCCTGCATGGAAAGAGATGAATGAACTGGTTCTAAGTGGAGGTGCCCAGGGATTGAGAAATATTAGAAATAAGGGGAAAAGACACAGAGATAGATTTCAAGCTGGGAACTGGAAGGGCCACTGACCTCCTCTGCTGGAGAAACTGACTGACAACCTCTTGAGCCACACAGCACATTTATTTATACTCCAATCCAACAAGGGGTTTCACAGGAAAACAAGGAGCCTGGGAGAGCCCAGGTTCCACCCACTCCTTCCTCCTGAACAAACACATTAGTCAGGAACTAAGAACATCTCTGCACTCCCAGGGCTGGAGTGCAACTGACATAATTCTGCCAATATTCTGGGACAAATCAACAATAATTTATAGAATGTCCAGGTGTCTTCCCATTTGGCCCTCTACAGTTCTCCATCGATTTGGTTCACAGGGAACAAATGTAGGGCAGTATTTAAAAACATGGACACCAGGATCAATGGGTGCAGTTTGGAACTCCAGGGGTGCCAATTGCCAAAAATGACCCTGGGTACGTGATCTGACTTCTAGGTGTCCCTGTCACCTTCACACGGGTGATAGTGCATATAAAACTTGTAGCTCAACACTGGATGAGGACAGTAAGTTACTCACAAGTGTCAGCTATTACTACTTAGAGTCATAAAGCTTTAGACTCAAGTGACCCTTCAGAAGTCAATTTCTAATTTTTATTAATAGGGAAACTGGGAACGAGAAAGGAAGTAATTTGTCTGAGGGTGCATAGCAGATTTTCCTATTCCATGGGCCAGGATATTTGCTGTACCATAATCAGCCTTTCTAGAAACTCCTTGGTCACAGAGCTGCCTCTATTGTTTATGCTCCCTATTTGAAAGGCCAAATGTTTGTATGTTGTTTTTCCTCCTCAGTTGGTGGACTTATGCTGAGCCATTCTCTCACCTACCAGTTCGTAGGAAAACACAGAAAACTAGACAGGCTTATGGATGCCAGAGATGGGCATGGGTCACAGCAGGTAAACAGCATCCACCGCAGCCTCACAAACATGACTGTGGGCGATGAGGTAATCAGCTTCAGGGAGACTTGGGATAAAAAAAAAAACAAACCAAAAACATGGGGCCACCCTGACCACAGAATTCATCCCTCCAAATCCCTGCTAACCATCGATTGTTAGAAACAGGCCCTCGTGTAGATTAAAAGGGCCTGTGCACAAGTACATTTATTAAACTCGACTTTTGTCTTCATTCATCCAATCTGAACAACAATGAAAACATTTTTTAAATATTTTTTTTTAAATTCTGAATTGATTGGAACAACAACAAAAAGATTATATGATTCACATGGTAGGGCTCTAGCCAGACTGCAAATTCTGAGGACCTTCTCTGAGTTCAGGAATCTTGGGGAATAAGAAAATCAAATGTTATTGATACTTTTTCTTCCATACAGATGGCTATCGAATATCCATGGGGAACCTAAAAAGAATTACTGGCCTCAGGCCTAGACTCAAGAGACTCATGCTGGATGCAACCTTGCCCTGTAGAGCTGACTTAGAGCCTGCCTTGGGTTTGGGGGAGGCTTTCCGAAGGGCAGTGCTTACTAGTTTTAATCTGTCTTACCCCTCATTAATTCTCTTTATTCAGCTCACGTGCTTCCCATCTTCATTGCTAGTCACCAAATCTCTCTGCAGACCTTTCCTTTGGATTTCAAACTTCAAAAGTTATCTAGAGCTAGACAGGTAAAGTGAAGGCTTTGGATTTTTGTTTATAAATAAAACTTTTATTTATAGACTTTTTAACATATTTTTATTAATTTCAGAGAGGAAGGGAGAAAGAGAGAGAGATAGAAACATCAATGGTGATAGAATCATTGATTGGCTGTCTCCTGCACACCCCTCACTGGGTATTGAGCCTGCAATCCAGGCATGTGCCTTGACTGGGAATCAAACCACGACCTCCTAGTTCATAGATTGATGCTCAACCACTCAACCATGCAGCCAGGCTATTATAGAATTTTAAAAATGCCTTTTTAAGGACAGTCTTAGGATCACAGCCAATTGAGAAAGTACAGAGATTCCTATGGAGTCTGGGCCCCCACATATGCATAACTTCCCTCATTATCAATATCCCCCAAGTGGTAGAGGTTTTTCATTCTCCTTATTCACACTCTGAACTTCTTTATCTCTCCCTCCTAGTCACAAACTGGCAGCTCCCACAGTAAACATTGAGGCATATCTTGTTTTCTCCTTCCATGAGGCATATCTTGTTTTCTCCTTCCATGTTTTCTCCAAGGTGTTCCTGTTTTTCATAAAACCATAGAAACATCTCCTCCCACCACACTCACACTACACACAAAAAACAGTTGGGAAAACATTTTAATTATTCCAAACCACAACACCACTTAACTACAGAGAAGGGAGCTTTAGAGACCCATTGAAGAAAACAAAAGGCTCACCTAAAACCTGAGGGAGTGACCACAGCCAGTCACTGCAAACCCTGAGCCAGAACCCAGACTCCAGACCTCCCAGCCCAGTCCTCTTTCTACTGGGGAGACACTTTTTAGATGCTCTCACCTTCAGTGAATAACATCTGATAATTCAGTTGTGAAATACCTATGGAGGTGTGCATTTGGGAGGGTGGAAGGGGCATTGTCCTGGTCCCTCCTATAATAAATTGATGCTCTAAAACAAACTGCAGTGTGTGTGTGTGTATGTGTGTGTGTGAGTGTGTGTGTAGGTAAGGGGGGAACCAGGCTAGTGTGTGTGTATGTGTGTGTGTGTGTGTGTGTGTGTGTGTGTGTGTGAGTGTGTGTGTGTGTGTGTGTGTGAGTGTGTGTGTAGGTAAGGGGGGAACCAGGCTAGTGTGTGTGTATGTGTGTGTGTGTGTGTGTGTGTGTGTGTGTGTGTGAGTGTGTGTGTAGGAGAGGGGGGAACCAGGCTGGTGTGTGTGTGTGTGTGTAGGTAAGGGGGGAACCAGGCTGGTGTGTGTCTGTGTGTGTAGGAGAGGGGGGAACCAGGCTGGTGTGTGTGTGTGTGTGTGTGTGTGTGTGTGTGTAAATGGGGAACCAGACTGGTATGTGTGTGGGTGTGTGTAGGTGTGTGTGTGTGTGTGTGTGTGTGTGTGTAAATGGGGAACCAGACTGGTATGTGTGTGGGTGTGTGTAGGTGTGTGTGTGTGTGTGTGTGTGTGTGTGTGTGAGTGTGGGTGTGTGTGTATGTATTTGTGCAGGAGTGAGGGGAACCAAGCTGGTGTGTGTGTGTGTCTGTGTGTGCAGGAGTGGGGAACAGTAGACTGCATTTTCATGGCTATGATAATAAATTTAAGGACATATATATCAGTCTAGTTGAGATGAAGTAGAAAGCAGAGTGGGCTGAGAACCAAGAACTGGACATGCTGGTAACTTGCTGTGTGACTTTATAGAAATCATGTTTCCTTTCAGGGTTTCAGTTTCCCATTCTATAAAGTATTATAGCAACGCAGAAATACAGCGTTCTGGGAGAGTCCTTGAAGGCAAGAGGGGGATGGAGGGAGGGAAGGAGAAGGGGGAGGAAGCTGGACAAAAAGGGAGAGACAGGTGAGGGAGACGAAGGGAAGGGAGTAGAGATGGAGAATGCCTTTTAGTAAGTCAGTGAAAAAAAAAGTTGCAAATGGAAACTGTGAGTCTCATGAGGGCTTTTTTTTTTTTTTTTTTTTTTTTTTTTTTTTTTTTTTTTTTCAAATTTTGCATGTTTAGTGTTTACACATACTTTGTCATTTGGGGGGAATACAGATTGAATGAATGGCGAACTTGAGACGGCTAACTAGAGACAAAGGAGCCAGGGGAGAAATGAGAGGGAGCAAGCACAGCTCGGGAGCACTAGGAATTCCCAATCCCACCCAGGAAGTCCCCACACCGCGCTGGACCCTTCAGCCCAGAGCACCTTGGCCAACGGGGCATGGAGGGAGTGTTACCCAGCGAGCCGCCCTGAAACCGCCAGGGGGCGCTGCGCCGCGGCCTGGCTGGGCGCGGGGCGGAGCTGCTTTAAATTGCGGCGCCCCGCAGGTTGGCGTCTCATTCCCTGAGCCTGGGAGCAGCTACAGCTTCTCTCACTCGGACTCCAGCGCCAACACCCGGACTTGGACCCGGACCTAGAATCTCTCCAGCAGCGCCGCAAGGAGCAGGACTCCCCGCAGAAACTTCCCCCGCGCGGCTCCGCCACCCCCGGGAGCCCCGACGGAGCCTCTGCAAACTCCACCTGCTGCACCTGCCATCCCGGAGCCAGCCAGGGCGCCAGAGCGAGCCATGGCCAACGCGGGGCTGCAACTGCTGGGCTTCATCCTGGCCTTCCTGGGCTGGATCGGGGCCATCGCCAGCACAGCGATGCCCCAGTGGAAGGTTCACTCCTATGCGGGCGACAACATCGTGACAGCCCAGTCCATCTACGAGGGGCTGTGGATGTCCTGCGTGTCGCAGAGTACCGGGCAGATCCAATGCAAAGTTTTCGACTCCTTGCTGAACCTCAACAGTGAGTGCATTCCCCTCCCCCACGGCCGGGATCCAAGCCTCCCAGCCCCCAGAGCTTCCCTTCCATTCCGGGTAGAGGCCATCAGCTGATTCTGTTAGGTGATTACATGGTTATCAGTCTTCAGTTGATCAAGTCTTCAGATCATGTTGAGAGGAAGTAGAAAGAGATGCGCTTTGGGATAAGGGAGGTCCAGGACTAAGCTCTAGTTTTGCCTCTACTTCCCTGGGTAACACTTTTTCTCCTCCTCTAGGTGAGGCTTCATCTAAATTCTCATGAGAGTGGGTTGGAGATTGAGAGGTGACAAACTCCAACCTGAGTTCTTAGGCCTCCCCTGGACATTCTGAGATTCTGTGTGAACTGAAGAGCAGTAGGGTGTGGACAAGAAAATAGTATGCCTTGAAAAGTTTGGAGCCCGGTAGTTTCTCATATTACTACATGGAGTGCCTCAACTTACGTTAAAGTTGGAAGCTTTTGTTTCTTTTGATATTTAAGATGCAGTAAGTGTGGGGGGGGCGCCTTTGTGCCCCTTTTCATGACTTTTTGAAGAAGCCTCTTGAGATTCCCCTGAAAGTTTTCAAGTTGGGGATCTTCAGAGTAGCAGAGTTTGTAGGTTCTTTTGGAAAGTGAAGGTTACTCGTGGCAGGTAGGAAAAGGAAGACAAAAAAGAAAAGTTCTGAATAAACTCCCATCATATGCTGAAGGGAAAGATGAAGATACTGAAGCAAAATGCCATTAAGGAGATACAGCAGAGGTCAGCTGCGGAGAGAATGTAGCACAAAGTTCCCACCTTCCACAAAGGATGTTCTCTGTAATGGCCCTTTGCTTCTTATTTCTGTGGAAAGGATTATGTAGAGCGAGATATTCCTAAGGATAGCAGGGAGAAAGAGGACAAAGACAGCTTTTTTTCCTTCTTATTACCTTTTGTGTGTGTGTGTGTGTGTGTGTGTGTGTGTACATATTTTAACATTGCCCCCCCACCCATACATACCCTCCCTCCCCAGAGTTTTGTGTCCATTGGTTGTACTTATATGTATATATACAAGTCCTTCTTATTACTTTTTAAATAAAGGCCTTTGAGTGCCTCTTCTGAAACTCATTAGATTCCCACTTGCCTAGGTAATCCCAGTTTATGGCTGGAGTAACTTCCTTGAGATATTACATTCGTTGTCATGTAGCATGTGTCTGTTATGCCCTTGAACTAACTTGAAGAAAAGCTTCCTTAGTCTTTGCCTAAACAAGCTTGCCCAGTGGCCCCTTTATGGGCTGAGGGTGAGCGGTGTTGTCACCACTCAAGTTTATTCCAGGTGCTTTGTTCACCTCCCTCATGTGGTTTTGTAAGAAGCCATATACTTGAGGGTTATTGAATTTGTTTAAATGCCTTGAACTCCTGTGGAATCTGGTTAGTCACTGTGGATGGTGGTTTTTAGTGTTGTCATTTTAGCTCTTCTAAGTCCCCATTCTAGAACTTCTTTATGCCAAATATAACAAGTATATTAGGTATTATTCTTTATATAATCACTGGATCTCCCCATGGAAAGATAAATACATGTAAGGAAATAGTGGCAGGAATCTGGGGTGTCATATTGAGGCATTGGCAGATGGAGAAGATTCTAAGGGCAATTCTAGAGAGATCTCTGATTCTTCTGATCAAAAGAGTTCATTTTCAATGTGTTTAAATGGGTCTCTTTAACTTTCTTAAATGGCCAATGGAATCAGATTAATTCGCATTGCAAATACTCAATCAGGTCATTCCTACCGATGATAACGTGGCAAAATGGTTTATTTTTATTTATTTATTATTAGTTACTAAAACTATTACAGTTTTTGTGGAAGAATTAAACAATGTCCTCCTCGTCTCCCTACTACACATTTTGGAGATTTCTACCTATAAATATGTATGTTTAAATCCAGATCAGATTCCTCTTTTCATTTTGGCTAAAGCCAGAGATTATTCAAGATGGGGCCGAGGCCTTTCTCTCAAAACCAATTCCCAGAAAAGGGAACCTTTGACTCATAGCCATCCTCCCCAACCTGCAAATGACTCATCGGATGCCTTTGGACAGAGTCCAGAGAACCTGTCTCCATTCCTCCACCTGGGCAGTGGTGCTCACACCCACCTGATGCAGAGACCTGGGTGGTGATTCATTGACTGGTTTTGGTATAGTTCTGTCACCTCTGAATGTGAACAGGATTATCTGTGTGTATAAGTAGTCTTCCTTGTAAAAGATGGCATTCCTCGAAGTGCTTTTAGATGAAAAGCTTGGCTAGAAATTTCCTGAAATTGAACCTTGTTCTCTTTGTCAGTGGAGCCTACTTGACATCTTAGGGTTAAGATACAAGGATGTGTCAAGGCATTGTTCTCCTGCTCTAAATAGTGCCAGCTGTATAAAGAATAGTTCCAAAAGTGCCTAAAGAGATATAGTGTGCTCAAAACAATGTAGGAAATGAGACACAGGGTGTGTGTTTTATTTAGGTGGTTCTTGCAAAGCAGTTTATGAAAATGTACCTGAGGCCTTCCTGGGGAAACAAACGTTGCACTGTGCATTGTGGTTTTGCAATGGCAATTCCATCCAAAGTACTTGGTATTTATTGTCATTGATGACTCCTGCAGCTGAAAGTTGGAATATACAAAAGAGAGTGGCAGATGCGGTTAGAGTAGATTTTTTTTCTGGGCTACCCTATACATCTTGTCTTGTTTTAACCCAGTTTTCAAACTTTTAGCAAGCTAGTGTCTAGTCTGTGTGCTTAGTTAACTGCTGCTTCTTGCTTTGCTTTAATAGCTAGTGCTTTCCAAAGACTGGGATTCCCCAGGAGGCTGCATGGTAGGAGGTGTCTAAGCAGAGAAATAAGTAAGCGTTTTATAAGAATGTTGTAGGCAAAATACAAGCACCAGACAAATGGGAGGTTAGACTAGACTCTCTTAAGTCACATCCAACTGTGGGATTCTGTAATTTGTTTATAAGCTCCTCTAACCTGCTCATCTTGCTTTGCATGAATCCACATGTGTGTAGGAGTGCTTAATGAGTATTGGTTGTCAGTGAGGTTGCCCAGTACTCTCACCATGATGTCACGCTCGATCAAAGGGACAAAATCACTAATTTGGACAGACTTTGAAGCTTGGACAGAGAGAAAGCCACCCTTTACACTTCCCCATAGTATGGAGTATGCCTGCTGAACCCAGGGTGTTCAAGGAGCCATTGGTATTCAGATCTGTTGAAGAGTTTGATCTGACTCCTGGAATGAAAGATGTCAAAACAAAAATCCAGGCTTGAGATCAGAAGTTCTTAATCCTTTACCCTGGTTTTGCACTAACTAGTCATATGTTTAATGGTGAGCCACTTGGTCTCTCTGAGCTATAGTCTCCCCATTTATAAAATAGGACAGTGTAGGGGGGTGGTGAGCTGAATCCATGATTCATTCCTCTCTTCAACAAACGTGAGCTGTCTTGCTCCTGGGAATGCAACTAAGATGATATATAAGGTGCTAAAGTTGATTTCTTCCAGTGCCAACATTCTTTGTAACTAACTGTTGTGATTGAGGGGAAAAGTTAAGTGGCACAGTTAAGTTTTCCTTGTTTGGGATGGTAAGTGGCATAGAGGAAATATAGACACATAAATGTAATTGTGAGGCAGTTACTTGAAGGAAGGAAAGAAGAAAGGAAGGAGGATGAGAGGAAGGGAGGGAATGATGGAAGAAGGAAGCGAGAGAGGGAAGGAGGGAGGAAGGGAATGAGGGAAGGAGGGAAGAAGAGGAAAAGAAAAGAAAGGAAGGAAAGCTAAAACTTGTTAGGACATTCCAAAAAGTGGTAAGTCTTGCCTCATTCCAGATCACTTCAGTTTCTGACTGTGCTGGTGTCCTGAGGTTACACCCAATGGCCACCAGCTCAGGCAACAATAAAATGGAAATGCTAATAAGGACTCCTTGAGAAACTTTGAACTTGAGTAAAAGGGAGATTTAACAAGTGAAAAGGCCAGGGAAGTATAGTTCTGTGATGGTCTGTGATGAGATCATTTAATTGCAGAGACTAGAGCAGTTTTGCTCTAGTGACCCAATGTTCAGTTTATTGATTTCCCTATTACTTATTAAGCCACCACTGATGCAAAGAGGGACTATGTGAGAATGCAGATATACTTAAAATCTATATTGTTTATGAAGTACACAGAGTAGCAATTTAATAATATGGCCAGTAAGTAGCATGAACAATGCCAGAAATTTAAAGAAGATTCTATTCCTTGTATAGTAAAACTTTAGAAAAATCTAAAAAAAAAAATATCATTTGGCTGTGCTTGTCTTTCTACATTTAATGTTCATCAACCTAACTATAGTGGATCAGTAATTTCTAACTAGTTTCTTGTCTTGTAAGTAGAAGTCTTTTTAAATATTATTTTTCAGATCATACTTTCAAATTACAAGTAGTAAGAACTTCATAGAGAGCCTTTAATCTTAAGATTATCAGTCTAGCTAAGTATAATTAAAAGACTCTCTTCGTGTATTGCTGAATAATGATGAGAAACAATGGTTTAGCTTCTCAAATGTTTGCTAACATTTTCTCTGCAGACAACTTTAGTCCATGATAATAGTATTATACAGGTATCTACCAATTTAAAGGGCCAAGAAAAGAACACATTTGCTTTTAGATTTGATTTAATCAGACCAGATCAGAGTTAGTAGTCCAAAACTATACTGTACCTCCCTAACCCAAAATTTTATTTTGTACATTTTAAACATTTTTCAATTTCTCTGTCCTGCTGATCATCATTCCACTAGGAAGGGAAAGAAAGAAAAAAACTTCCTTGGAAGATCATAAAATATATAAATATTTTAGAAAAAAATTAAAACAAATCAGATTAAGCAAAAAGTATTAATTTTTTTCTCCCTGTATGAGTTATTAGCTTTTAATGTTCTAAACTAAGTCTGGTTTTATACAGTAAGATTTTAGCATCCCTGGTTCTCTAAGGAGGCATTTCTCAGAATTTTTTTCCAAAAGTTAAGCTTAACACAAGATAGTATTTTTTAATGATTTTATTAGTAGAATTTTAAAGGATAAAGACATGTTCTAATTTAAATTCATTGAACACACATAGCATAATCTCTATAGCTTGTCAGGTACCAGTTTTAGTGCTTTGGGTGGGAACATGAACAAATATCTGATCCAAGTCTTCAAGGAGCTCACAATTATATATCATGGGTATCTGACTTAGAAGACTTCCATGGATATTAATTTGAAGAATTCATCTGGTTCCAGCTTAAAACTGTGCAATTTAGATTCTATCTGTGCATAAAACCTTCCTAACTTCTAACACACTTGCTCACCTTGATTTTTAAACCACTATTATATACACTCAGTATGATTGTCAGCCTTTTTCCTTTTTATTTTTATTTTTACATCCCTCCCCCCACCACCATCATGATAGTTAAGAATTAATCCAAATGTCTACAATGAAGCAAAATGAGATTTTATGTTTGATGCCCATCTAGTATTGTAAAATATAAAGAAATGTCCTAAGTCAATGGATGCCAAGGTCATAAATTGAAAAAATACTGCTTTGCAAAATAGCACTATTACTGTATCAGATTTAAAAAAAAAAAAAAAAAAGAAACATTAATCCCTTGCTCTGTAAGGTTTAGATAAGTCTTAACTACAGTTTTTTCCTCCTTTATTTTTGTGCATTATACAAGCAAGCCATTATTCTATAAAGAAAAAATAAAACATACTAGGCTTTGTTCCCTCCTGCAGAGAAACTTTGTAAATTAAGTGGAAGAGTAAAATGGGTATGGCATGAATCAAATGTGTATTTGTAGGGTCAAGACAGGGGGGAGGATGAGAATTTAAAGGGGACAAAAATCTAGCAATGAAAATTGTGAATCTTAGATCATTCCAGGTGAGTGCAAAGGGAGCTTTGAAGTAGTGTATCCATGTGTGCTTTCTGCCTGCATGGCTTTATCCAGAGCTGACTCATGAGACCGAGGCCCATAGACTCCTCGTGAAGAACACCTTGTGATCCAAGTGCTCAGACCTGCCAGACTGGTAGCCTGATGCTTTTACGTGAAACACACACCAGAATGATTATTATGGAAGCTGGGTTTGGTTGGAGGCCCTACAGCTCCAACAAACTGGAAAGCGTGGAGAGATATCAGAGAAAGAAACAAAAGTGATGAATAAAGAGTCAGGAAATGGAGTATTCATAGAAAACAAAGTGAAGGTGGCTGAGAAGTGTAGGAGCCTATGCATATATGAAGGGCTAGCACAGGAAAAATGTTGACTGCCTTCTATACCAAGGGTAAACATCTCATCACCCCTTCTTTAAGACCCTCCAGTGACTTTTTGTTACACTGAGAATCAACTCCAAACACTTTACCCAAACTTGCAAAGCCCTGCCTGACTTGCATCTCTGCTCACTTTGCTAAACCCACCTCATTTTACTTTCCACATCCTATCATCCACCAGGAGAGTGACCAGCTGTCCCTGTTGGTGCAGGATTGAGGGTCTTCCCTAGATATAGGACAGGTAGTTTTATTTTTATTTTTAATTTATTTTTTTCTTATTGACAGTATTAGAGATGTCCTCCATTTCTCCCTTTTGGCCCCATCCACCCAGTCCCTGCCCCACCCAGGCCTTCACCAAACTATTGTCTGTGTAGCACAAGTAGTTTTAAAACCAAGATAGACCCTAGGTCACCCTATCCTGGCACGTGGATCATCTCCTCTGCCAGTATTCCTTTGCTTTAAATGATTGCCCTGAGTGGAATTTGAAATCTGTGTTGTGTATAAGAGCTTAGATATTGTATTTTCATTTTCCTTCTTAGTAATGATTGATTGCCTTTGCAAAAACATTTGGTAAATTAGAAAGAAAGACACACCTAATGGTGGAGTCCTTGGTACTTTCCTCTTCACACCACTGTGGAATATGTATTTTGATTCAGCAGCTCTTATACCACACTGGAATCTTAAGATAAGTGTGTAGGGTAGGGTGCATGTATACCCAAACACACTTATAAAGGGGAGTGTCTCTGGTTCGCCTTTTAATTAAATCAAGCAAAAATGTATTTTGGCTTCCAAAATATCTCTCAAATACAGAAAAAAAAACAAACATTTGCTACTTCTTAGATAGAGGTTACTATGATTTTATCAGAGTTTGGTTATGGCTGGAATGAAAAATAAAAGAAATAAAAATTGAATGATGTTTTAGATCTTAGTGTTAATTAGGATTGGTAATTCAAGGTCTCAGCTCTGAAAGTACTAAGACTGAGCCTAGGTCTCAATTAGACAGTGAGATATAGAACCTTTTTATCATGACAGCTACTTTTGAAGAGCATCAAGAGGTCAACCAGCCAGTTTTGCTCAGTGGATAGAGCACTGGCCTGTGGACTGAAGGGTCCCGGGTTGAAGTCTGGCCAAGGGCATTTGCCCAGGTTGTGGGTTTGATCCCCAGAGAGGGGCATGTAAGAGGCAGCCAATCAATGATTCTCTCTCATCATTGATGTTTCTATCTCTCTCTCCCTCTCCTTTCCACTCTGACATAAAAATATATTTTTTTTAAAAAAATAAGTCAATTGTTCCAACTCTCTGATAAGAGATACCATCATTCACACTTTACATAATAGAATCATGGTCCCAAAAATAATAAGTAGCTTACTGAAGATAGCATGGTTTGGTTTGATGTAAATAGTATTTATATATGCAGAAATACTTATCACATGTAAGTCCTGCCAGTGAGATAATGATCTTTATATGAAGGAGGAAGTAAATCTAGAATTAATCAAACTCATCTCACCAGCATAGCTTCACCTTGTTTTCTTTAAGTTTGTGCCTTTATGCCACAATGATGGTGTCATGATTTTACCCTTTAGGAAACATACTGTCAAAACCTCTGAACCCTGTCCCCATCCATGTGATCATGACTTACTTAGCAATGACAATAACAGGAAATCAGAAAATGAATGGAACCCTGAGAAATGCTACATTGAATTATTGTCTGCTATTTGACAACATGACAATGGAAATAGTCACGGTGATAGCTCTGAATATGAATCCACTATGTTCTAAAGTAACATGGGAAAGGTTATTTAGTTTTGTTCTAAGAAAATGACACTCATATTCCCCATCTTCACCTCAGCCACTTGAGATACAAATGCTGTTTATTCAGCCATGATAATCAAAGAGAAATTCACTTCTTATCTTCCCAATTCACCTCTGTCTTTTCTGAAGTCTGATGGCAGGGGTATAAAGCTGTAGACTATTACCAAGATATATTAATATTATAAATGGTTTAACATTAAGGATAAAACATGATTGTATTTCAGAATTAAAGTACTCCATTAGTAAGGATTAAAGATGTATTAGATCTGCTAACCCTATTCAACCAGATCATTATGTTTCCAGAGGAATTTGAATTTAATGTTGAAAACATAAAAGGTTAGAGCCTAAGGGTTTCTTATCCATTATCCAGCCAGTTGTTTGATTTTCTGGAGAAGAAACTATGTTGCTTACCTACAGAAACATCACTAGAACTGGGATCTCCTGACTCCCAGTTTAATTTTCTTTCTTTCACACAACATTGAAATGTACTTGGTCTTTTACCACTCTTCTCTTATTGATCTACATATGATTAATTTTTAATGTTCTAAAATATTTTCTGCCAGGTACATTGCAAGCAACCCGTGCCTTGATGGTGGTTGGCATCCTGCTGGGACTAATAGCTATCTTTGTGGCCACTGTTGGTATGAAGTGTATGAAGTGCCTGGAGGAGGATGAGGTCCAGAAGATGCGGATGGCTGTCATTGGAGGTGTGATATTTCTTATTGCAGGTAATACAGGCCCTGCCCCCCTTTCTAAACTCTCTATGGTATGGTTTTATCTTACTAAACCATCTCTGGCATGGCTTGAGATTGAGCTTTCCATTTCCTTAGACAATTTTGGATGTCTTGACACTTGAATTGATTTATTTCAGTCCTTTTAAAATCTGAAGACATAGAAACCTTAAGTCCAGCTGACTTTCACATTCTCAAAGGAGCTAAATGAAAATCTGAGATCTGTGCTCACAGTGGACAGATCTATTATTCTTTCTGGTTTCAGTTGCCAACCAGTTTATTAGAACCAGTTTGCCGGGTAAAGAGCAAGATCTCCTATCAAGCAAACCCTCAGGAACAACTCTATTTACATAGAGAATTTTCATGGCATCCCACGGACAACATATGCCAAGGATGGGGAGCAGTAAGAAGGAATATAGAGAATGTGTGAATCACATAGGTGTGTGAGGAGTGGATGGGGTTGGGATTATTAGAGGAAAATGGGAACATCATTTCAGTTGGGCAGATCTGATGCCAAAATAAATAGGATGTACCCATAAGTCAGTGAAGAGAAAGGCCAATTGGAGTGTAAGTGGAAGGTGGAATGGAGTGGAGGTAGGAAATTGGGTTAAATGAATTAAGAGTAAAAACAATACAGAGAGGCCTTGAAAAAGACCTATATATATATATATTTGTTGACTTACTGAAGTGTTGCTTATTGAGTTAGATGTGTGACCTTTACGAAAATGAGAAACAAAGAAAGGTATGGCAGTTCCATTTTAGTGTTATAATAAACTTCTTTTAAATAAGGTTTTATGTATGTGTATAAAATAGTATTTAATATATATATATAGTCTATTTTTTAAATAAACTATTATATACAGTACATAATACATATATATAGTAGTTTATTGGTTTAAAATGAAACCAATGATATATCTATCACTAGGAGAAACGAACTACACTTTCTTTTTCTCATTTCCTCTTTGATAAAAGACCTTGTAGGGTCCTTTGCCCCAGCATGATATCAGATTTAACCAATAATGAAGAGTTCCTGTGGCTTTGCCAAAGATTTGGCTAGTTGAAAGTCACCAGTCTTTCAGTTTTCCAAACTAGCCTCCCCCTCCCCCCCCTGCAAAAAACCACACACACCCATGGATGGTGTTTAATTTAATTCCAAAAAGTTTAATTTTACATCAAAGGCTAGTAATAAATTTACTGCATAGCACCCTTCTTTTGCTTACCTTTTTGTAACTTCTCTGAATGATTGTATCACGCCCAGCTCAGTTTAGTAAGGGATTTCCTAGGGAGTGAGGGCGAAAGTTCCAAAGTAATCTCATGATGCATCTGAGCAGCCAAAAGCACTCCTGTTTTCTGTAAAGTATTAGAGGAAATTAAGTTGGACACATTGTTTTTGAGATGGAGGAAAATGGAGCATTGAAATTTTTAATCTGTCTATTAATATATTGGTGGTTTCTTAGAATTACTATGAGAGGAAGTTATTTAATTTATTTGGATTAGAAAAATCAATATTTTATACTTGTTAAAAATGATAGAAAAATTATTTTGGTATTACTAAAATATGAAATAAATGGAAAATTGGGAATGTGCTGTGTACATTTACCTGTAGCATCACCTCAGCAAAACTCAAGGCAGTATCTGGCAGGTCTGGCCAGTGGAGCAGTAGGAATTTAGGTGGTCTGGACCATTCTGAGACAAATTCTGCTCTTCCTGTTAACTAGCTACTTACTTTCCTTTTGATTCTACAGAAATGTAAAGTTTGCTCTTTGGTCAAGAAGAATATAGAAGAGTTTTCATTTCCCCCTTTTCAAGTGAATCCTCTATAGTAATGAGGACATTGGTTTTATGAAAAGTAGTTTAGTACACTAATGTGTAACAATATCTTTGAAGATCATAAATGACATGAACCTCCTGAATTGTTTCTAAAAATGCTTTATTGGTGTCAGTAAACTTTGAACTATAAATGAATAAGATGACAGAGTACAACCTATGCCTAACTCGGACCTAATGTTTTGGTCTCTCTTAACAGAATACTTAGAATAAAACAGGTTTTAACTTTTTATCTCCCTAAATTAAAATTGTCTAAAATTGACTAAATTCAAAATGTCAAACTTATTGGCGAGATTTAATCCTTATAAAATCCTTATCAATGTAATGGGCTGCATATTTATGCTCAATGTTCCATAATGATTAAATCTTTTGTTTTTAATTTCTCTAGGTCTAGCTGCTTTAGTTGCCACAGCATGGTATGGCCACAGAATTGTTCAAGAATTCTATGACCCCATGACACCAGTCAATGCCAGGTAATGCTATTCATGTGTAAAATAGCTTGTTTTCTGAGAAAATACTCTTTATGTTCTGCAAAGTCCAGCTAGTGCCACAGCTTCCCAGATTTGCTTTCTGGAATTTTATGTCAAACTTAAAAATAATTTGAATAGCCTGTGACTCATGTTAAAATGAGTTTGTAATTGCTTTAACAGCCTGTATGAATGATAGAACATATTTGAGGTAGAAAAGTTGCAAGCTTTATATTTTGCAATTGTGCTCGGCCTTTTCTCTTTTTTTAATATTAATAAATATATTAATAAATTTGAAATGTGTTTTTGAAGTATGTTGTGATGTTTACAACACTTAGTTGTGATTATTTGTAACTAACATACAGCTTATGATTGAAAAAATAGTACTTACTACTCTATGCCTTAATGAATACTACTTCTTTTTCAATAGTTCATTTTTATTTATGAAAATAAGTTTAATTTATTTATGAAAAAATAAGTTGTGATGCTACTTTAAAAATTTCTGTTCCACCACAACAATAAAATTGTCTTTCCAAAGGTCAACTTTCATAATATGGCAAGATGTGGGAGTTCAAGGGCTGATTCCTGGCTCTCATGTAACAGCACTCTTTGATCAGCGAAAAGGCTCTTTGTCTCACTGTGTTCCTGTCTTTAAAGCCTAATAACTACATTCAGAGTCAGGATGTTAAGATGTAATTATTGTTTGTGTCAGGATGAATAGATGAAAAATCCCAGTGGTTGGACAGATAAGGAGGATATACATTGCAATGATTGTGTTGGAGCCCTTCCCAGAAGATTTACAATGTAGGGACAGAGACTGCTGGAGGTCAATAGGCTAATATTTTACTAGTAATGAATGTGAGAGCAGTTTATAAATTGCCAGGCAGTGTACACATGTTATTTTTTATGTCTCATGTGATCCTGAAAGGAGACCATTAAGGGAGATTGGATTATCCCCCTTTAAGAGAAGCAGAAACTGAGGTTGAGAAGTGAAATTACCAGCATATAATTGCAACAGTTGAGAGTTTGCATTTGGATCCGAACCCAGGCCTCATAATTCTAGATACAGCTTTCTCTACTTTTGTTGTCTACTATCAGACACAGATCCTCTCCCCCAAGAGTCTGGCTTAATGCATCCACTTAGATCAGCTTAATCTAGAATGCTCCATAGATTGCTTAGAAGTCTTTTTTTTAAACCATAAATTTCAAATTTCAGTGTTTATAGGTACCTGGGATCAACTATTAAAAACTCTAATGGATGCCCTGGCCAGTTTGGCTCAATGGATAAAGCATTTGCCCATGGACTGAAGGGTCCTGGGTTCAATTCTAGTCAAGGGCACATACCTTAGTTGCAGGCTCAATCAAGGGCATGTATTCCAGTTGCACTGTAGGAAACCAATCCATGTGTCTCTCTCACACCAATGTTTCTCTCTGTCTCTCCTCCCTCCCACTCTCTCTAAAAAATCAATGGAAAAATATATCCTCGTGAGGATTAACAACAACAAAAAACTCTAATGGTCTAGCACTTTAGGAGTTTGTTTTTATAGAATATGGTTGCTATGTGGTGATAGCATGACTTGTTAAGCTCGAACCTAGGAATCATTGTTCAAACCTGATTCCTAAAGTATATAAAGATGTTATACCAGTCTCCTACACATGGAAAAGTCTTTGGAAATTTGTGTGCAATTGACCCAGTGTTGCATGCTGTATTGCCTGATGTACTATTGCAAATGCAATGTAAACATTCTTGTGTGTGCAAGCACAAACCTGAAAGTACTTCCCCCAGGGATCATGGGGGATTGTTTTCAGTGGGGGAAAAGCATGAGATTTCTAATTACACTAAGAAACTTTCCAGTGATTCATTGATTAAGCAGATGCGTTATCTTTTCCTCTCAGGTATGAATTTGGTGCAGCTCTCTTCACTGGCTGGGCTGCTGCTTCTCTCTTGCTTCTGGGAGGTGGCCTACTTTGCTGCTCCTGCCCCCGGAAAACATCTTACCCAACACCACGGCCTTATCCCAAGCCTGCTCCTTCCAGTGGGAAAGACTATGTGTGACACAGAAGCAAAGCGAGACAACCCTGGAACAAACAGAAAATGGACATTGAAATACAAGACTTTAAGACCTTGAACTTTGACTATTGTCGTCTGAACTGTGGTGTTATTAAAAAAACAACACATTTTTTTAAAAAAAAATACCCATTGCTAAAAATGACTAAGTCTTATATCCTTGCTTTAATACAGGGGGGAAAGCCTTTTCCAAGAGAATTACTGCTTCCCACTGAGAAATCATCTCAAATGTGGGGAGGGGTGCTCCTTAATTATAGATATGTATATAGACATGTTTTTCTATAAAAATTAGTAAAATTTCTTATGTTGGTAACAACATAGTTAAAACATATCTAAAATATATATATATATATTTAAGTCTATATTGATTGAATAAGCAATTTCTTTGATATATGCCTCTTTTTTCTATATGTACACATATATAATGGGTCAGATATAATTTACCCTCCTTCATCAGCTTTGACATAAGACTTAAATTGCTAAAGCAAGTATAAATTCTGCCTGTTCCTCACATGTGCCCTTTTCATGTAATTATTTTCCTTTTTTTTTTTTTTTACCATGATCTTACAACACTTGCTTTGTCATCAGTCAATTGTTCTTCACGCCTTTATTTGTTTTTACTAGGTTCAACTTGACTTTTAAATCTAACAACATATTTCCTAAGGATATTATTTAATTTCTAAAATTATTAAGTTTCTCTTATAACTCAGAGCTTTGGGGCAAATCTTTCTGCATGGCCAGATATGCTCCTGTTGACCTTCCCACCTCATCTCTGTATTTTGACCTGTAACACTCTAGTTTGCTTTGAAAATATTTGCTTTTTTGAGCAAGTGTGTACTGCTTTCTAAGTGTTGTAACACAATTTCATTGATTGAATTTTTAAGGTATTTCTTTACCATTTATCCCTCCAAACTACCTTTTATGCCTTCCCCCCTCTCTTCTCAGCTGTATACTTTCTCATAGGTCATTACCATATAGTTACCTGTATGTTTGGTCTGTTTTTCTGCATGAAGTGCTAGATGTTCTGTAGTGATAATCTGGTGACAAATATTCTCTCTGAAGTTGTCAGCAAGTCACTTATTTTTTCTCCTCTTTTCCCATCTGTTAAATTGAGATAATGATACTTAACTAGCTGGTGGAGGTGGTGTGAGTATTAATTAGCTGGTGTTATGCTCATTCTTTAAACATGAAATATGTCTGAGTAGTGTTTTTATTTGCTCAATTGGTGGTTAGAACTCATTGAACCAAACCTGCACACACCTTCACATTGTCCGTGCCTTCCTTTCTACCCCAGATCATTTTCTTTCTCTCAGTTGCACCAATCATGTTGGTGCTCTGTTTCATTTTAACAATTGCTCTTAGTTTTGCAGTAAGTGGAAAATGCTTCTCTACTGGAGCAAGATGATATAATGAAAAGGGAGTTGGTGTTTGTGTCTGGAGACCTGATTTGAGTCTTGGTGCTATCAGTTACTGTCTGAGTTGGCCTAGATTTATTGTTTCATCTGTAAAAAAGGGATTGTGATTCCTGACCTGCCTAACTTGCAGGGCTTTTGTGAGACTCTAGTAAGATAGAATATGTGCAAATGTGGTTTGTTAGGTGAAAAGAGCTGTAATAAAGAAAAGAACTAAGGAATTTACATGCATACATTTGGGTTTATTTTTCAAATTATTGAAAAGGGAGAAATTTTAAGGAATGAGTTTCTTGCCATAACCAGTCTCAAGTAATGAGACACTATAAGGAAATTCAGCTTACTAAATGAAGTGCATTCTAAGAAAGTCAATTTCTTCAGTATGACCTGATTTTTTATTTTTATTTTTTGGCTAAGCTTTTCTCCTCTTAGACCTAGGACAAGTCTGCAGGTGTAGTAGGTAAAACAGAAGTGTAAATATTGGCAAAGCCAAAGTATGAACGATTTTTTGAATTATAATAACTTTCAAGGTTATTCAAGGTGAACATCTATTAAGTGATGCCTTTTGACTTAGTGCTGTTAGGTGTTGCTAACACTGGTCATTCATAGTGAAACCACATAGGAAAGTTATACAGAGGATTGTAACATTTGAGTATTTGAACCTACTAACTTTCAGTCTTCCAACCTGAGTCTATGCTTCTATTAATAGGAGGTATAACTCAGAGAGGCTTTGCAACACACATAAATCCTAACGCATGTGGTTTACTAATTGCTAAATTCTGCAAAATCAATCCATAATCCAAAATCACTACCAGGATTGTTACACCAGAAGTTAGTCAATTTTGATATTTTTGTATTCTGCTACTGTACCTGAAACAAGCCCAATGGATATTTTGGGATTTTGTAATGGAAATTTGTATAAAGCATTATTCTTTTTCAATAATAGTTGGGTGTTTGTTTGTTTTTTAATAAAAACATAGATCATTGGCTTGTTTTTCTAATTATCATTTCAAGATTGCCATGCTTGGAAGAGAAGAGGACTTGGGATAGGATCTACCTCAATCTAAGAGCTATGGGCCTCTGGGTCATCTGTCATATACTTGAGTGACTCCATTAGAATGACCTGTTTCTCTCAAACTGAATTCCTTCACCATCAAAGCTGGTGATAGGGGAGGATGCCAAAAGAAGTTAATTGATTTCCCTTAACAACAACAACAACAAGTGTATGGGGGGGTGGGGGGGAAGAAGGAGGGGAGGGCATACTGTAATGAGAAGCTGAATGATAACATAACCAACTGTGAAGCACCCTGCAAGCTTCAGATAGCTGTTTTCCTCACAAGGTGGAAGAGTGAAAGAGATTCATTTTAGTTTTTGTAACAATTACAGTCAAGACTAACTCTTAGGAAAGCCAGTGATGAAATGAATTCACTGGTAATCTGAAAATATCAGTAATTGATAGAGCCTTAATTATAGGCTCTCCCTGGGCAATTTTCATAGTAATGAGATGGGTGTGTAAACCAAGGATTGTAGCTCTTTGTGGACTCTCAAACATTAGCATGATAGGTTGGACACTAAGATGATTGTCTGCTTGATTTGAACCCTCCTTAAGTTAAACAGACTCACCAGAATCCTACTCTCTATCAATTAACTTATCTGGGGGTGGGGCCTGGGCCAAGGGAGCCAGTGTAGCTGAAATACATTAAGTTAGAAAGAGGGTAATAGGAGATGAAGACATGAAAGGAAGAGGAATTCAATCTGTATAGGTTGTGATGAAACATTATAAGGACTTAATTTTTCTCTCAGTAAAAATATAAACATATTGTTATATATATTTTGAGCAGAGGAGACACAGATCTAAATTGTGATGTAATAGGATCACTTTATATGTTGTGTTGAGAATAGACTTAAAGAGGGCAAGGAGAAAAGCAGAGCATTCCAATAGAGGTCATTACAATAATGACAAGCAATGGATAGTAATAAGTTGTTAAATTTGGATATTATTTTAAAGTAGAGCAAACAGTTTTTACTAACTAACTGGGTATGAAGTATGAGATTTAAAAAGAAGTGGTCAGAGATGATTCCAATATGTTTGATGGGAGAGAGCTACCAAAAATCAAGAGAGGGAAGACTATAGGGGAATGGGTCTGGAGTAGAAAATCAGCAGTTTCACTTTGGGTATGTTAGGTTTAAGATACCAAATGCATATCCAAATAAGAGATGTTCAATAAGGTGTAGAAAGAGAAAAAGAAGAAAGCAGGGGTGTAATGAAAAAAGAGTTTTCAGTAAAAGAGAGTAATCAAACATTGTTTCATATGGTTTATCAAGTTGAAAAATATATCAGTCTTCAGAATTTAAGTTGCTAGCTAGGTTAAAAGGTCAATAGTGGGCTAATAGGTTTGAGAAACCTAAACCTATTTGCCCATTATTGAATCTTTTATCATCTTTCAAATTATTTACTCCATTATTCTCCCTAAAACTATTCTCAAAGAAGTATGGTATTTTTTTTTATTTTAATTTTTAAAAAATATATTTTATTGATTTTTTACAGAGAGGAAGAGAGAGGTTAGAGAGTTAGAAACATCAATGAGAGAGAATCATAGATCAGCTGCCTATTGCACACCCCCTACTGGGGATGTGCCTGCAATCAAGGTACATGCCATTGACTGGAATCGAACCTGGGACCCCTCAGTCCGCAGGCCAACGCTCTATCCACTGAGCCAAACTGGTTTCAGCAGAAGTATGGAATATTAGTGTCATAGAACTGCCTTGGGTTTTAGGCCCGATTTGACCCTTAACTAGCAGCACTACCTTTTAATTATTACATCTTAATAATTTAATGTAGCTGAAACAAAATGTGTCATTTAGGTATTCTGTGAAGCAAGGCTCCAGAACAGAATTAGAATTGCAAAATATGGAATGCTAATGCCTATGACAGAGCAAAGAAATATGTTATGAGACAAATTCTCAGCCAACTTACATTTTTATGTCTCATTGGGTAGAATGGTTTCCCATGGTTGCACTCAGCAGCAAATGAAGTTGGGATATTTAGTTTCATAGATGGGCACACTACTGCCCATTAAAATCAGATTTTGCCTGCCTCATTAGCTCTGTGGCCTTGACCAAATTACTAATATCTCTCTGGCTCAGTAATAATATGTGTTCAACTTAACTTCCAAAGTTTTGGTGGAAGCCAAATGACATAATATATGTGACTATCCTTTGCAAATCAAAAATACTGCACACATATAAGAGGTTCACAATAATAATTATTTTTGTGAAATGAAAGACTTTATCTTGCCCACTTCAAGTGAACAGTTAATTGGGTAGGATCCTTTCCCTGATTTCAACTGTTACCTACGTCAATGTACATCTTCCACTATAATATACGGACTAAACATTCAAAGTCCCATGAAACAGAATTAAGAAGCCAGAAGACATAATACCTCATATAGACAAACACATTTCCTGATGGTGTAACTTTCAAAAAAGAATAAAACTGAACAAATAGATTAAAAAATAATATCTAATGAAGCCATTTTATTATTTTGCTTCCTCATGAGAAGTTGGAAGCAAAGCAAT